CCTCAGCCTCCCAAAGCGCGGAATTACAGGCTGAGCCACCGAGCCTGGCCAGGAAAGCATTTTATATTCTTTCTACCCTGTCTTGAATTTTGTGGTCCCTGAGAAGGTTTTAGGAGGGGGAAATTTTAAAAATCTGAAGAGATACTCTCTTCATGCCCCCGGAAATAGATGAACAAAGGGTAGGGTTCAGTCTATCAGGGCATTCAAAACCAGACATTTGTCTTATTTTGTTCAAAGTCTCTGTGTGTGCCCACAGAAGTTCTGGAAATGACACTGGGAGTTAGGATACAGAAGGCAGCTGGAACTGTCAGTAAGATGACTGTCTCTGCAGATGAATGGGTGGAGGCTGAGGGGAGAGAAAACCTGGCTCTGAAGGAGAGGACAGGTGGCTCAGGGAGGTTATCTCTGGCTGGGGGGATCCAGGTCCCTGGGGATGGTCCTTTGAGGTGGACTCATGACTTTTTGGGATAAGTGGAAGGAAGTTCTACTCAATTCAGTGTTTTGGTGAAAACCTTGGTCTTTGGAGTTGCACAGCCTGACCCCTCCTGGCAAGTCCTGGCCTCCGTGAGCCTTGAATGTCTCTTCAAGTAGAAGCTACTGTGCTTTCTTCACAGAAGGGTGGTGTGTGTGCTCCTGATGTGTGCAAAGTCTGGGACATGGTGGGCCGTCCGTGAATGGCGATTGCTGTTACTGGTTTCAGAGTTTCCAAGCTGCACAGGTGGAACATGTCGACCCGTTCTCACGTGGCTGATGGTAGCACTATATATGACGCTCCTTAGAGTTTTTAGGAACATCTGTAAACTCTGAACGTTGCATCTTGCCCTGGGAGGCCGTGGAGACCCACTGCCCCTTGGCCCTTTGTTGGAGATGGGATCTGAGACAGGAGAGCCTGTAGGTGTGACCTCATTGCCCGCAGCCCTGTCTTGGAGGTGAGCGTCTTTGATTTGGGATTGCGTGTTCAGGCAGCGTATGTGTTTCATCAGTCATTTGTGACAGAGCTTCCTGTGAGGTGGCCTCTTCCCGAAGGCACTGGTCTGGAGGCGCTCCTCCCAGCGCAGTGTCCCTGTGTAACAGTGTCAGGAGGGCACTCCTGCCCGAACAGTCTCCACACAAAGGGCCTTCTTCCCAGAGATCACTTGCAAGGTGATCATTTGGAATGTGGAGCACGCATTCCCATAAAAACAACACGATCAGGTTACCACCTGGGCTACAAAGCTTTTTACTTAGCATCTTACTTAGAGTAGCAATTTACTAATAGTAGGCCTCAGTTTTGGGTTCTGGGAACAGGCTTCCAGGACAGGTGGGAGCAGGAAAGGAGCTTCCCGCTTCTTTCTGGAGCCTTGGTTTTGCTTCCAAGCCAGGCAGAGCTTCATCTTGCTCTCACCCAGGAGTCTCTGTTCTTCTCCTTAGGTCCCCAATCTTCTAGCACTCTGCCTTTCCTCAGGACCTGTCCAAGCAGACTCTGTTCCAAGTGTCATGTGATCCAGAACCTTCTTGCATCCTGGTTCCTTTTTCTCCATGCAGCTGATGTCAGCTAGCTTTTAGGAGGAAGGCAGTGGGACAGATTTACACTCTTGTGAGCGACTGATACTCCTTTACTCATCTTTGAGAATCTTCATGTTTACAGGCAGTGTTTACTAATGTAGCACTTCTCCAGTTGTGAATGAAGGTCCAGGGCTCCCTCCAAAACTCTTGGGGCCAGGTGTGTTCTAGAATTCAGTTTCTCATATCTCAGAACGCAGTACTCCACAGTCAAGTAAAATTGCATCAGCAAGAAAAGATCCACAGAGCCGGGAAATGTTTCCTATTGGTTTGGGTTTTATGCTAAATGAGCTTGTGGTAAACTCACGGAAACACGTTGGGTGTTCCAGAGCTTCTTGGGTTTTGGAATCATGAGGAAAGCGTTGCAGGCTCGTGCTTCCCATGCCACGGAGTGAGGGTGGTCCTGTGGCGTAGGGAGACGTTTTTGGCTGGCGAGCGCTTGGCTCTGGCATGAGATTTGCCTCTGGGTCAGTGTGCTCAACTTCACTGGGTTTTCCTTTCCTTCACCTTCTGGAAAATGCAGAAACCTGGGCTCTTTTCTGATTACGGACGTACTATGTGATGATTTTCTTTTATTTTTATTTTTATTTTTCGAGTTGGAGTCTCACTCCATCGCCCAGACTGGAGTGCACTGGCCGCTCCCGGCCACCGCAGCCTCAACCTGCTGGGCTCTGGCGATCCTTCCGCCTCAGCCTTCTGAGCAACTGGAATTACAGGCACATGCTGCCATGCCCGGCTGATTTTTGATTTATTGTGGAGATGAGGTCTCGCCAAGTTGCCCAGGCGGGTCTTGAACCCGCAGGCTCAGGCAATCCACTTACCTCAGCCTCCCAAAGGCGCAGGATTACAGGCCGAGCCACCGAGCCCGGCTATGTGCTTGTTTTTAAAAGTAATGTGTAACTTAGAAAATGGAAGGCCTTTGTCACTTATACCCCTAGAGATGAGGAGCAGTAACTTTGGTGTTTAATCTGTGGGATTTTCCCAGCACATTTGCAGCCTAAGGGCGGGTACACATTGCGAGAAACATGACACTGAGTGACTTCCTCATTGTGCAAACATCGTAGAGTGTACTTACACAAGCCTAGGCGGCATCTCTGTTTTCATTTATATCTATTTTTTCATGAAAAACCAGATGTCCCAGCACCATGATGAGCATGTTCTTTTCCCTCCGTGGTCTGGTCTGCAGTGCCATCATGAAGTGCTTAGGTCAACTTTCCCACAGGCTCCGTTATGCTCTCAGGACCACCAGCGTGTGTACTGCCCAAAATGCCACTAAGCAGCACGTGACTGTACTCGTGTGTATGTGTTATTTATATTAGTATGTAGAGCTGTTTTGAACAAGACTGGGATTATAATTATAGTATAGTTCAGTGCAGTCTTTTTCCTTCACGTTTTAATAGCTAAGCTGTTTTTTCGGACAGCAATATTATATATATATATATATTTTTTGAGTCAAGAGTCTTACTCTGCCATCCAGACTGGAGTGCAGTCATGGCTCACTGCAGCCTCTGTCTCCTGGGCTCAGGCAGTCCTTCCACTTCTGCCTTCTGAGTAGCCAGGACTACTGCACTCACCACACCCAGCTAATTTTTTGTAGAGATGAGGTCTTGCTATGTTGCCCATGCTGGTCTCAAAATCCTGGCCGTGAACCATCCTCCCCCCTTGGCCTCCCAAAGTGCTAGGATTACAGGCGTGAGCTACTACTCCCAGCCAGATTTTATTCTCTCTTTTTTTTTTTGAGTTAGAGTCTCACTCCGTCGCCCAGACTGGAGTGCAGTGGCCGCTCCTGGCCACTGCAGCCTCGCCTGCTGGGCTCCAGCAATCCTTCCGCCTCAGCCTTCCAAGTATTACAGGCATGCGCTACCACGCCCGGCTCATTTTGATTTATTGTAGAAATGAGGTCTCGCTGCTCAGGCGGGTCTTGAACCCGCGGGCTCACGCAATCCACTCACCTCAGCCCCCCAAAGTCGCGGGATTACAGGCTGAGCCACCGAGCCCGGCTCTCTCTTTTTTTTTTTAATGAGTCGGAGTCTCACTCTGGCTGCTGGAGTGCAGTGACACGCTCATGGCCACCGCAGCCGCAGCCTGTTGGGCTCAGGCGATCTTTCCGCCTCAGCCTTCCAAGTAGCTGGAACAGCAGGTGTTGCTACCACACCTGGCTAATTTTTTGATTTATTGTAGAGATGAGGACTCATTTCACCAAGTTGCCCAGGCTAGTCTCGAACCCCTGAACTCAGACAGTCCTCTCGCCTTGGACTCCCAAAATGCTGGGGTTACAGGCTTGAGTCACCATACCTGGCCTGATTTTATTATTTTAAAAACTATAAAGATTTTCATTACATGCTCCTATCATTATTTGCCTGTCATCTTATCAACTGATACTGGGTTGGTTCTATTAGTTTTCCATGCATTACTCTCCCTTTTGTCGCTCTCTGTTTATGGGCATACACTGGCAGGGTGGGTTCCTGGACGTGGAACTGATGGCTGGTGGGCATGTGCAGTTTTTACTTGACAAGATCGTTACCCCTCAGTAGGGCCTGCCAGCTAACACCCTCTGCAGTGCAGGGGAACTCCTGTTTCCCTGTCTCCAGTCCTTGCCAGATGTTTGTAATCTGAGAGAGATCACATATAATGTACATATCTTTGCTTATTCAGGAGGTTGGTGGTTTCTTTCAAATGTTTGTTGTAATTTGGGTTTTGTTCCATCTGTGAAACATCAACTTGGCTTTGTTCTTCTAACCATCCTGCCCAGGGG